GTTCAGGTACCATCAGATGAAAGAGGATGATGTATTTTCTTGAGTTTGTAGAAATCAAAAAGTGGAGTATGAAGAAGTGAAAAAGAGATTGAATCCAGAATAAGCGTATATTTGAATCTTCTCTGAAATAATTTTCCGATTGACCATATAATAATTGTTGCTGTTGGAGCAGTTCTAGGGTACTTAGATGAGAAATGTAACAAAATTCAATCAATCCAACAACTACACAAAACATGTATGCTACATATACACAAGGTTGTCTATTATAAATAATTAAACAGTTCTGGAACATACACGATTGAATCAAATGCAACATGGAACACATTTGTTTCCCCCATTCTATTCTTGTCAAAATCAACTTTGTAAACCTTTTTCTTTAAGAATAGCCTTAGATTAATCTTGAACCAACACATTTTATCAATTAATTCAGTAACATTTGAGTTTTCACTATGCCACCCTATCAGTTTTGAATTGTTGTTCTTTGGTTATACAAGTGACGGATATCAACTGAAAAATATATTTGTTTTAGAGGACATTTTCACAGAAGAAGGTTAAAAGGCTTCCCAACAGCCTTCGCTGGAGCAGATTTGCCAAAACCAAACACATACAAACTGCCTGAATTTTATTTTGAAGCGCAAAAACGTAACCTGCTCTTTAGGCTTCCCCATAAATGAGAAATATTTTATATGCAACTTTTACCTTAATCATTAACGCTCACACACGCCCACCATTGTATTGTAACATCCTGACCTAATCTTTGTCTTTTTAAGCTTTTATTTTATTATTAGAAAACACAACAAGGTTATAATAAGCAAGAGGTTGTTTATGTATATCAATACAGTGTAATTCTGTTTGCACTTCAATATGTTGAATACAAAAATCTGCTCTCTTCGCTGTCACTGAGGAACTGCACACTGCTAAAGGGAGGCGTGTGGTGCAGTGGATTGTGCGTTGGTGTTCGGATCAGGTTCAAACCCCACTGCAGTCAGCATGTCGTTGTGTCCCTGGGCAAGACACTTCACCCCAAATTGCTTCTGTGGGGATTGCCCACAGTATTGAGTATGTAAGTCGCTTTGGATAAAAGCGTCTAACATGTAATGTAATGTAATGCTAAAGCAGCCTCCCTCTCCTCTGTCATCATCATTTGGACCTGTCTGCTGCATTCGACACAGTGAACCATCAGATCCTCCTTCGCACTCTCCAAGAACTTGGAGTTTCAGGCTCTGCACTTTCCCTCCTCACCTGCTACCTTAAAGACCGCACCTACAGGGTAACTTGGAGAGGGTCCGAGTCCGACCCTTGTCAATTAACTACAGGGGTCCCTCAGGGCTCTGTCCTTGGTCCCCTCCTCTTCTCTCTGTACACAAACTCGCTCGGATCGGTCATTAGCCCGCATGGTTTTTCATACCATTGCTACGCTGTCCTTTCCCCGCTCAGAGAACCAGGTCGTCGCACGCATCTCTGCTTGTCTAGCAGACATCTCTCGGTGGATGTCTGCTCACCACCTCAAGCTCAACCTTGACAAGACTGAGCTGCTTTTTCTTCCGGGAAAAGAGTGTCCCACTCTTGACCTAACAATCAACATCGGCATCTCTATTGTTTCCCCGACTCAGACTGCAAGGAATCTGGGTGTGATCCTAGATAACAACCTGTCCTTCACAGCAAACATCGCTGCCACATCCCGCTGCTGCAGATACACGCTTTACAACATCAGGAGGATACGTCCCCTCCTAACCCAGCAAGCGATGCAACTTCTGGTCCACGCCTAGACTACTGCAACTCCCTCCTGGCTGGTCGACCTGCATGTGCCATCCGACCTCTGTAGCTCATCCAGAATGCAGCGGCTCGTCTGGTCTTCAACCTTCCTAAATTCTCCCACACCACATCGCTCCTCCGCTCCCTTCACTGGCTTCCGGTAACTGCTAGAATCCACTTCAAGACACTGGTACTAGCTTACCATGCTGTGAATGGATCTGGCCCTTCCTACTTCCAGGACATGGTTAAACCATACACCCCAGCACGTGCACTCCGCTCGGCATCGGCCAAACGGCTCGCTGCAACCGCACTACGAGGGGGACTCAAGTTCCCATCAGCAAAAACACGTCGGTTTGCTATCCTGGCTCCAAAATGGTGGAATGAGCTCCCCATTGACAGCAGAAAGCTTACACATCTTCCGGCACAGACTAAAAACTCATCTCTTTCGACTCCACTTCGAGCAATACAATTACTAACAAAGCACTTATATACTAATAAAATACTGGCTTATCTAAAGCTAGTTGAGTAGCACTTGAAATGTTTTGGCTCTATGAAACCTGATGTACTTATATGATTCTGTTTTCTTCAAGTTTTTATCTTCTTGGTCGAATGCATTTATTGTAAGTCGCTTTGGATAAAGCGTCAGCTAAATGCAATGTAATTTAAACAAATCAATGTTGCCACTTTTGAACTAAAATCATAAACCATGTTTCTCAGACAGTTTTTCTTTGATCTAAAAAGCATTGTTATTTTCAGAGAGCCACATTTGTTATGGCAGGGGGACTGCCTGACATTGGCATTATTTTGTAAAACCTTCCTAAAATTAGACTAAATTAGATTTGACATCCACTTTATTTTTAGTTTTAAGAGCTTTTAGCAGACAGTTTGAGCCTCTGTGAGAACACCGGCTGTTTCATCCCTGAGGCCAGAGAAGAGAGAACATCTGTTCTGAGCAGCAAAACTTTGTCTTCACGTCCTCTGTGTGTCAGGAGGTCAATCTCACCCTGTTGTAACACAACTTGTCTGCAGTCAGCCCTACACACAAACTGCTCAGAAGAACTGTGTAATCAGCTGCAATACAGCCTTAGACAGTGTGTGTCTCAGGTCAGGTGGTTGTTTTATTTAGCCATTTTTGTGAGTATAGCAATACATTTATCAACACAGATCATCAAGACAACATTCGAATATTCTACTCATATTAATGATGTATATATTTATGTATATATAATACCTTGTTAAATTCAACATGTATATTTTCTACTTTCTTGTTTATTTATTGTCTTGAATTGTTATTGTACAATGCCATGTCTTTTTATGCTGCTGCAACGCAACAATTTCCCAAATTGGGATCAATAAAGTACTATCTTATGTTATCTCTTATACTACACTAACATAAAGCCCCCAGACACTTTTTGTACTTTCAGAGCCATTCTCAGTAGCAGACCCTCACCTCAGATTACTTTCACGTGTGTCTTTGCTATTTGCTTTTTGTTTTTACTGCTGCCCTGCCCTCGTGACCTCCAGTCTACGTGGCGTCGGCGTCAACAAGCGCTCTAACGACGTGTGAACTTTTGGGCATGCAGTGACAATGGCGCCTTTAGACAGGTGCATACATACACCCCCTCCACGCACCACCACCCTGCCTGCCGCCGAGGAGCTTTTAGGCTCTTTGCGATGCTAAAGAGGAACACTAAAGACTGTGACATTCCTGCCTAATGGCTGGCACCTGATTTTCACACTCACAGGGTGTGTGTATAAACAGCTCACCATTAAAAAAACAACAACTATAGGGCGAAAGGTCTATCATTTCATTATAATAAATTACGATGATTATACATCTCATGTTATAGGACAGTGTGTGCATTCATAGATTAAATAACGGCAAATAATGGTTGAAGTTAATTACAAATACACGACACGTAGGCTATTCAGAAAGTAAAACAGAAAGATAATAAACCTAATTCAAACGGTACACGACAAAACAACGTGGGTGAATCTGGCTGAGCAATTCATATGCAATTAACTAGATTAACAACAATCGTTCCTTTTCTTCTGTCATCATGTTGTCTCATTCATCTGATGATGCTCACACATTAACAATAAAGAAAAAAGTATGGCTTTGGTGTGTGGAGCTGCTTTGAATTACGCACAAACTTTACGCACATTTAAGGGATTAAACATGATAGGATCCCGATTCATTTAAGGGCCTTATCCTAGCTTGCTGGATTTCATGGAACCTCAAGGCACAGGGTTTAATATGTCCTTGTCTGGGTTTAAATTACATTATCATATTGTTCCTGTCAACTCGGTTAATTTTACACCGTGCTGTGCGCAAACTGGAGAACAGCGCCTCCTTTATCTGAGTGCTCTTAACTCCCGCAGAGAGGCTGAGAAAGAGGATGCCTCATGATGAACTGAGCGCCTTATGTTAGCTGTTGATGGGAGAAAAGACACAGACCGTTTGTTTCCTGTAACTTCTCCAAATGTCTCCACCTCAACAGGGTGCGTAAAGCCTCAAGGCACAGCCACACAAAATAGCCATCATAACGTTTCAGTAAATAGGTCTAAATGGCATTTCAAAATGTAAGATAAATCGCCATCAAAAACAAATATGTTCGAATAATATATTCACGTCACATATTTCCCCCACTCGCGCAGAGACGTTTTATCCAAATTAATCAGCTTCTGCTAAACCTATTTTTAATTTGTTTTACACATTTTCACCATTATTCTGGTGGTGTGTTTATAAATGTGCCACCGTATATAGTAATACTTTACACAGAGATGTATTTGTAAATTAAATTATGAGCCAACAGAGGACGCTCTAGCTTCAGTTTGTCATGACATATATTGTAAAGGAATGGACACATAAGAGTTATGAACAAGGTGTAAGAAGGGCTTTAAAAATATATAATCCTGTTTGATTTAGGAACTGTTTATCGTGTTTATTTTGTTTCGAAATTGAAAACACATGCCTGTGCGCATTTCACATTGTTCATTTGTGGCCGATCCTGACTTTTAATTCAGAGTAATCTATTCAAATGTAATGGCAAAATGATTATGTCTGTAAATAAAGAGGGAGCCATTACAGCCGTGAAATGCACAATTAGATTGGCGCTCGGCTCCAGCTTTTGGCTCTTTGGGCACCTGTGGTGAGCTTCCTCACATACGGGGTGTGTCTTTGGGCGGAGACCTGCCCACCACCCCGCCGCTTCTCCCCTCTGCTCACTATATGAGGAGGCAACTTTGTAATCCCTGACAACAAGCTACATTGAACCGTAGCAGAGGACTTGTCTTTCCAAGCGATTTCTCCCTGACCGACAGGAATCTGCTCCGACCCTAAGAAGAGATCATTGGACCTGTGCCTTCCTTTTTAGATTTGTAATTAATCGGTGAAGCCAGACATCACCATGCCTCGTTCTTTTTTAGTCAAGAAGTATTTTTCCAGCAAAAAACCCTACTACAGGGAGAGTCATCTTGAGAGCCAAACAGGTAAGGTTTAATTTCCTCACTTATTGACAAAATGTTTTCCATCTGTGGTCTTACTTGACATGTTAAGTGAATCACTGTCAGAACGAAACAAGAGCTTTATAAAGTTACCTTCAGATGCAGAACAGCCCCTTTTGTGGCAGATAAGATGGATATTTATCCAGGTTGCTTCTTCTGTGCTAAACAAGTGTTTCTGGTCACCTAAAAATGTGGAAATGTAAAAGTCAGGGTTACACTTAAAGCAAGTTGTAATAAGACACCCAACAATGAAAACAAGTTTAGGGCTTAATTAGATTATCTGTTAATTACAACCCATCTGACTTCCTTTTCTCTGTTTTGCCAGCTTTTGTCCCAGAAAGCTTTCCAAGGGCTGCACTTCCAATGCAGAACAACAGCTCCGCCCTCACCTGCTACCCCACCATCCCCTTCTTCAGCAGCATGGACTCCCTGCCTGTCCCTCTGTCCCCCATCACCCCTGTTTCTCCGGCCCTTTCACCACTTGGCCCTCTGGACCTCAGCAGCTCTCCCTCTGGCAGCAGCAGCAGCAGCAGCAGTGAGGAGGAGGAGGATAGCGGGCGCACGTCAGATCCTCCCAGCCCTGACATCATCCAGCACATCTTCCACTGTCTGCACTGCAGTAAGAGTTACACCAGCCTCTCTGCACTGTCCCACCATCAGACCCACTGTTCTCCACAGCAGCAAAACACCCCTCTCTGCCCACTGTGGTCTCTACAAACGGCCGGCTTTCCACTGCAAAACACTGCCCCAAGGAGTACACAAGCCTGGGAGCCCTGAAAATGCACATTCGCTCACACACTCTGCCCTGCGTGTGCCTCACCTGCGGCAAGGCCTTCTCCAGACCGTGGCTTCTTAGAGGACACATCCGCACACACACAGGTATGCAACAAAACAAACTTATGTCAGAGTAGTCACATTGATTTCCAAGCTATTTTGACTTGTAAATGTAACAACTGGTTGCACCTTGTGCTCATTGATATTCATTGATGTCTCCTGATATGTGAGCAAATGTTATCGCTTCACATGGCCCAAACTAATCACCTGCCTCACAATGGTTTGCGCATGAAAAAAGGCAATCTGCATTAAGTTAGGGTAGTGTTCCTGCTCTTTGTTGGTTATCTGTAGATCATTTGAAAAAACAATGACCAGAGGACAGACCTTTCAATTAAGTGTATTCCTGATGCTAACAATGTCTTCTCTTTTCACACCAGGTGAGCGCCCCTTCTCTTGTCAACACTGTAAGCGGGCCTTTGCTGATCGCTCCAACCTGCGTGCCCACCTGCAGACCCACTCAGAGGTGAAGAAGTACCCAGTGTGGCTCCTGCTCGCGGACCTTCAGTCGCATGTCCCTGCTGCACAAACACACTGCCTCAGGGTGCTGCCCGGCCTCATAGACTCCCACCCTGAACTGTTCCCATGAGCCATTTTAAACTTTTGATTCCCCCCCTGATTACAGCCAATAAGGACCGAGGACTGATTTTTTTTTTTAATGTCATGTTGGAATCTGCAGCTCGTCACTACTGTGTTCTGTCAACTGTGTGTGATTTGAGGGCAGCTGGACATGCAGTTATTTCCCAGGAAACTCAGTCGGTGCCGGCCGGTCCGGGACTCTGGCCATGTTGCAGCTGCCGGGGTGTGTTTGTGTGTATGCGGGGATGTCATTCCTCACCATACTATACATACATTGTGTGTGTGTGTATATGAGCAAGTGTGTGTGTTGAGACAGCTGTCTGTGTATGGTGTACTGTGGAGGCCGGGCACTGATAGAAGTGTTAGCTGTGACCTCGACGACAGGTGACTGTCCACTCGCCCCTCCCAACACCACAAACACTTTCCACACACTCATTGTGTTTAATGGGATGTGAAAGGACCACTTAAACTTGACCAAAAAACACAACTGGGTTATTGACATTTTAAAGTCTAAGTGATCTTTTTTTATTTAGACACATGTTTCTTGAATGATTTGACCTACTGTTTTTATCAACTATTTTCTTCAACATGCAAAATGTTAATACTGTGTCTTTTTCTGCCACATGTAAATAAAAGCTTTGTTTAAAAAAAAAAAACCTGCTGTGGACGTACTGATGAATTAGTGTTTCAACGGGCATTGTATTAACTCGCAACTCTAAATTAGTTCATCAGGACAGACATGACAGTTTCTGAATGGGAAGATGGAGCTGTGTGAGTGTGTGTCTTAGGTGGAGCGGGGACAGGTTTGTGTGATGGTGAGTGATCGGGGGGAACACCTGCACACACCTGCCGGGCTGTTAGCGCACAGACAGAAACACACGGATAACACATGGTGAGGAGGGGGCAGGGAGCGACTACAGGTGGGTTATAGGGATCAGACATATAGAAGGCGAGGATGCTGAGCAAAAAAGAAATCCCCAGAGGGCAAATCTCACAGAATAAAATTGTCTTCGGAAATTCGTTCTGTTGTATGAGCAGAAATCTCAGGCTCAAGACCAACTAATGGACCCCAGAGAGTCAGCTATAGCAGAACTTGGACTGGACACTGATCCACTCACTCTATGCAGCCATCTGCTCCGTAATGGTTACACTCTACTTACCTTGTAGGAACTTCTAGGAGGAAGTCTGTGCTCATGAGCCCAGCTGAGGGTGATCATGCAGGGGCACATATGGCAGCAATGTGTCTACAATCCCCCACTGCCCTCCTGACCCACACACACACACTGACGCTAGCATGTCTTAGTGAGGTAACAACACGTTTCCTGTGATGAGAGGTGGATGCCCGTGTGTGTTTGTGAGGGGGTTAGACGGGGCTCTCAGAAAGCCTGGGATCAGATTGCATGACTTAGCTTGTCCAATGTAAACAGCACCCGAAAAGCTGCATGACAGCCACACACACACACATAGACATATTGAATAAAGAGTATCACTTTGATCATGGGGGAGTTTTCATTTATTTGCCTATAGGTGATCTGAAGTGAGAGATGAGTCATTTAGCTGCTGAACACCTAGTGAGTCAGAGAAGCAGGCCACAGGGGACTGAACTTTGTTTGAATTGCCGACAGTGGCAGATATGCTGGGCACAGAGAAGGGGCAGCAGGGCTGGATGATTTAAAAGATGGAGAAGACAAGTGTCAAATACTGCCATGGAGTTCTATTCAATTCTCTCTAAACTCAACCTGCACAAATTCATACAGAAACATGCAACTAAACAGACATTTCTGATGTTTCGGCCCTTTGAAATGTAACTCTGACACCTTTCAGGGGGGACATTTTTCTGGTTTGCGGAGGAGGAGGCCCTCGATCACTCTGTAGCTTTGAGGCAATGAGATCACTGGACCTGTCACCTTTCTTTATAGTGTATGTGTGTGTGTGTGTGTGTGTGTGTGTGTGTGTGTGTGTGTGTGTGTGTGTGTGCGTGTCTGATATCATATTGGTCCCCTCAAAGTGTTTTAATGTTCGCAGCGTCACGCATGCAGCCCCTGACTAATGTAACATTCCTGAGCCATTAGTGACAGACATACAATACTGCTATCTAACAGAGTGGCCGCTCTGTCTGCTGTCTTTGCACTCCGCTCTTCAGTCAAAGTAACAAAGTCATTTTCCTGCAACAGGAAATAATGTTATGCTGACCTTATTATAAAGAAAAGGGGATTGCCATTTGTTTCAATTGCTGACAAGTTATTCCCATGGAAAGAATGTATCGGCTAAGCATTATTGCCTCACTGTAGTAAACAGAAACAATGAAAAATATATATTTGCAGATATTCCAGTGAACTCTGCCCTTGGAGCTTAATTAATTCTACTTTGGTTTTGTGTACAGAAAAGCCGATGTTTGACAGTTTGCAGCCGGATGAGTTTTATTTTTGTTTTAGAGTGCCGTCATCTTGGAAACAGAAAATATAAGCCTCTCTCTAAACATTGATCCTGTGAAGAGTGGTAAGTGGGGCTTTGCATGTGTGTAACAGAACGGATTACAGGACAGCATAAACTGTCCTCTTCATTTAAAGCAATAGGAAGCAGTGCTGCATGTCAACAATGAAACTATTTTTTTTCTGAAATTGCAGTTTTCTCAGCTCTCAGTGTATGCATCTGAGGTAATGTTTGGGATGCAGGAAGTTGACTGGAAGTCTTGCATAAACACAGCTCTTCCAAAAAAGTGCTGATATGAAGCATCTGGGGCTACAGCTGTTTGTGTGTACACGGATGTATGAGTGTGTTAGTGGGTGTCTCTTGAGTGGTTCATAGTGCTCCACGTTGTGGAGTAGAGATGGTACAGTACATTGGTGAAATCAGAGCTGGCAGAGGTGCAGAGCTGAATAACTTGAGGTTCAAATTAGAGCCAAGAAGGTGAAGTCACTGCAGTTAAAGTTTCAAACCCTCTTAGACATTGTTACTGCCCAAAGCTTCATCACAAACTTCCTCTGCTGGGGCTGGACTTACTCACAGAAACCGATAAAGGCTGACAACATTTCTCCAGTGTGTATGAAATGACCACACAAACTAATAGCATAGCTGTTTGAGGGAAAGGGTGAACTGGGGATAAGAAGATGATAATGGGAGGAGGAGAAGACGAAGCAATCCGGGAGACTGGTGTCTGGTGAAAAATGAATGTTTCTGTTCGCAGGACATTCATCAAATCAGTAGGGAGTAGAATTAGCTGAGGAATGCCACATGTTGCAATGTAGACTTGATCAATGGCATTTGCTATGAAGGCTGAGACATACGGTCACTGCACTTTATCCCCAACTCTGGCTGATTTCAGGGCTTCATAAAGTCCTATAACATGCATACCAACAGGGATGCACAAAGACCTCACATCTCTGGACAAATAAACTAGTTTCACCCAAGGACAGGATATGGTCTCTAGGAGGGGGTACACGCCATTTCCTGCCCACCTCTCACTCCTGCTGTCCCTCTTTAAGTGGTGTGTGTGTGTGTGTGTGTGTGTGTGTGTGTGTGTGTGTTACTGTGTGTGGTATGTGGCTGGTGCTGTGTTTCCTCCTAAACACAGACCCTCTCTGTCCCACAGGGTCAGAGGGTAGAGGATGAGCCATAAAGGGACAGGAGGGTAAACAGATGAGATGTGTTGTGTGTAACAGAGGTTTCCATGCTAGGTACATGCAGGTTTCCGGTGCATTAAGGGACAGTTTAACTATGCGGTTTTCCCATAATGAACCTTGCAAATTGTTTTAAAAAGGGATATGGAGACTGTTTAATAAATATGATAAATATTTTCTCATGAATGGAGAAGCAGTTCATGCTTGGATATAAATGGTGAATAAAAAGGTGAAAGATGTTGTATTTCATCACATCACTGTTAAGATAGCATTAGTCAGCATACAACTTAACAACTTTAATGTATGCATTTTAACTTGAGTGTAAGGCAGGGGTGTCAAACTCAAATACACAGTGGGCCAACATTACAAAATCGGTACTAGTCGAGGAGCTGGTTCAATGTTTATTGCAAAATGTATTGAAATGAACTTATTGCAAATATTAAACCTGGAACTAACAAAGCTTAAATGTCATTTCTTATGATTACATTTTTCCACAGGCCAACAACAGCTTCAAAAAAACCATTTCCCTCAAAGAAAAACCAAACATGCCCTGCTGTCGCAAGAAAGAAAGTGCAGAATGAAACATCCATTGAAACTCAGTTTGCTGCTCTGTGATGCTAGTTCAAGCCAGATACTTGGCATCTCCATCTTGGGTGCAAGTTCATCAGTGTTTGGGGTCCAGGCTCTGAGCTGAGGAAATCCTCAGGATTGAGTGAAGGGTGTGCGTGCAATATACCGGCGGGCCAGATCTAAAAGTAATTCAAAATTGATTTGGCTCCCGGGCCTTGAGTTTGAGACACGTGGTAACATTTAACAATACTTTATACATTTATTTAACCACATTTCCAAGAAAATACTACAGTTCCACTACATTTATCTGACAGATTTAGTTACGTGAAATTGTTTTAATTTCACATATTAAAACCAGTATTTCCTAATAAAGTGAGATCTAAATTTGAATGCAGGACTTTGACTTGTAATGGAGTATTTGCAATGGTTGTGGCCTCTACATTTCTTTCTTAATTAAATTATCTGATTTCTTTTTCGAAATCCACACTTAAAATCATACACGTGTACAAATAGAGGTACTACATGTCATAGGAATATCACACATCTCGGAATCTGATCTTGCAGGGTCCTGCCATCTTGTAAAAGGATGCTTTATCTGATTAATGTTATACAGTGCAACAGAGAGTGAGACTGTGTGGTTTACTATGTTGTGGTACACTGGAGGACATTCATTTTCCACGAAGTTGCTATTTTATCAACTCTTTAGCTGTTTGTTTCCCATGGGGTTACAGCAGTTTGGGGTTAAACGTTGTTCTACTTTCCAGAGCCTTTGTTCCAGTATCATGACCTTACAGCACACATTTGTTGCGCAGAGCAAAGTAACTGTGGTTGCATCAGTCGTAATGTGACGCTTACCACATTTGATTTCACAGATTAGCACACCTTCCCCCATGAGAGAGAAAGAGAGAGGGGTGAGTCTGTGAAATATACGGATTGCTTGGAAGCAAACTCCCATGGCTTTGATTTACAGAGAGCTGTTGGTTAATACAAATTCAGTGAAATCAGTCAGTGATATCCTGCAAACTAAGAAATGTCATTGGCATCTACTCTAAGCCAACTAGGGCTAAATACAGTGCAGTAAAGGGAGTGTCAGGGCCGAATGTGCACACACCACACACAGAGGGAGATAGGCAGTGGCCAGCAAGTCATGACATGAGTATACTGACAGAGCCAAATGTGAAGAGTACATACTAGGGGGAGATGTTGCTAATAAAGCAGTTGTCAAAAAAGACAAAAAAGAGTGACACTGTGAACTGCAATAATATGAGAGGAGAGTGCTGCTGTTTAGCTTGGACCTCTAAATGAGTCCGTGTTGCACTCTTTCAGTTATCCCTCATATTTCTCTCTCTTGCCTCATGTTGTGTCATTCTTTCTCTCCCTCTTATTTACCACAGGTATTCAGGTATTCGCCCCCAGGGTGCTGCTGGTGGTGCGGAGAGGTGCAAGGTGCACTTTTGTCATCCTGT